AGGCGTGAGCCACCGCGCCCGGCCACCATACTCTTATACATACTAATAAATGAACATCCTTTACAATAAAACTACAACCAGGACTTTAAACTCTAAATTGCCTCTGCCCGCAAAGAATTAAAGATTAAATTTCTATTGTCATGTACTTGTCTTTTGGATCTATATTTAAACCTGAGGATCATTTACCCCTTTTGCTTGTGTGACCATCTTCAGGGCAAGAACTATATTGGGGAGATTTGTCTTTCAGAGGACTGTGAAGGGATGCAGTCCTGAAATTTTTGTACTTGCTTTAACATTGTGGTTTGAAGAAAATAATGAAGTGACTGAGAAGAATCTCCACTGCTTCCTTCCTCTTCTGTACTATCTAGGAAACTAGCACCGGCCCCAAAGCATCTTGGTTTAAGTAAGGCCCAATGAGGGAAAAACTGAGGCCTAAAGGATCACTCCAATCGGTGAAACAAGCTCCGAACGCAGAGGTCAGACTCTAGAGGTCAACCAAATTTGGCCAAAAAAGCTTAACTGAAGTGAATGTTCACAGGGTATTTCACAACCTTAAGAGTAAATCTACAAATGAAGGTTGTAAGGGTGCAAATGGAAACGGGTTGCCCCGGTAAAAGCAGAGGGAAAGTTAGTAATAGCCTAAGTGTTGAGTTTGGAGGAATCACTATCTCACAAGGTACCCTGCTTTCTCCCTTCAGAAAGCGTTTTAACCTTACTTGAGCCTCTCGACCCCATTTTTCAGATGAGGAAACGGAGGCTTAGAGCAGAGTTTTGAACTAGGAACAATCTCAGGGTTCTCACCAAATTGTTTTCAGCAGTTTCCCGCCGAGGTGATTTACGTAGCAAACTGGGAGAGGGGCTTGTGAAGCTTCCTTAGCTGCACGGCCCGACCCCCAGGCGGAGCCTGTGGGAGGGTGGCCTGGGGCTCGAACTGGGCAGGTACTGCCGCCTCGCGCTGGCGAAAAACCTGACTTGGAAATCCGCACAAGAGGCCAAAGCCTGCGCGACGCCTTAAGCGTCCTTACAGCCAGGGTGGTGGGCGGGGCAGGTGGGCCCGTCTGCCCCCCCATCGTGGTTCCGGGGTAACGGACAAGCGTCTACAGCCAGCCCTAGGCCGAGTAAGGGAGCATCGGCCACACGTTAGCGGATCCCCCGCGCGCGGGGCTCGAGTGCGGCGGGGAGGCTCCTCCAGGGAAGGCTGCGCATGCGTGTGATGAAATACGCGCTCTCGACACCTCCTCCGGCTATCTGAGGGGGAACTGCTCCTTCCCTCCAATAGGGCTGAATCCTTTGCAGGTTTTCTGCAGCCTACCTCTCAAGCGACCAAATTCTTCCAGCCAAATCCTCCTTAGGACAAGATTACCTGATGTGAAACTTAAATCACTTACGCTGCAGCTTCATTTTATTTCTCAAAAAATTCCCTCCTCCACCCTCCATCCCATAGAATAGGCCATAAAAAAAAGTCCCTCACCTCAATCCAGAAACGAGCTTCGAGTGCCTTCCCTAACCCCACCTAAACTCTACCGTTGGTCTCCTGGGCCCTGGCTCATCCCAACACCATTTCTTCGCTTGGCTCCTTCAGGAAACCTTCCCTGATTAACCCCGGTGGGACTGCAGCCGCCCCAATTACTCGGGAGAGAGCGCCAGGCCAAGAAGGCAGAGATCCAGGGGCAAAAGCGACCAGAGCTATAGAGCCGACCGATTCCCGCTCCTCCCCCGCCCCTACCGCGAGTAAAGTCAGGCAGCCGCTCGGGGACACAGCTGTATTGGGAAGCAGAGGCTCCTACACAGTAGGAGGAGGCACGTCCCAGTCCCAAGAGGCCCGAGAACTCTACACAACGCGCGCGTGGCCCCAGCCCCGTCCGTCCGCCATGCGGCCCGCCTGGGGCCCAGTCCGTGGAGGCAGCCCAGAGGGGCGAGTTAAGGCAGCTTGGCTGGAAAGGAGGGAGGAGTGGGTGTCTGCCAGTTCCTCCCGAAATGCTGGCTCACTGAGGGGATGAGCTTCTCACCTCCCACTCCTCTCTAGGGCAGGGGGAAAGACAGTCGACAGTCAATAAATAAACCCGAGGCGAGAAGGGACCTCGGGAGACTCTCAGAGTCCAGGAAGACTGGAGGTGGGGTACAAGAGAAGGGGAGGTGATGTGTCCTTGAAGAAGCGTCCCTGCTTACGGCCTTTGAGGACATGAGCCTCAGGGGCTCCACTGAGGCCGTGGGGACAGCTCCCTTTAAAGGTTAAAATGGCTGCCGTTAGGGACGGCCGGATGGGAAGAGGGCCCGACGAGAGGAGGCTTCGGGGACAACTGGGGTTTCTCGATGTCCACCCTCTTGAGGGCGCGGCCCCGGTACCCCTCAGGCCGGCCCAGGTACAAGAGGTTCCTCCCGGGACCTCCGGAGTACCTGGAGGGGCCTCCTGAGGGGACGCGAGTGAGCAGGGCAGGGGGCGCACGCTGCGTGGAGAAGGGCAACCTTCGACTCCCTCCGACCCCTAGCCGGGGAGCGGGCGCGGAGAGCGCAGGCCGGGTGGTGGGAGGCGGGCGCTTCCCCTCGGGGGGCACATCCAGTCTCAGGGGAGGGGCACATTCCCGGGGAAGGGGGCTGGAACCGGCAAAGAGGGCGGGCATGGGGGCAGGCTCGGGCGGCAGCGCCCGAGAGGTAAAAGGGGCCGGGGGCTCCGCCGCCTTCCTGGGCGGCTGGGGGCCGTGCAAGTAGCGCAGCAGTTCCTCAAGGGTGGTGACTTCCACCGCCTGCCCCGGACAGCCGGGCGGCGGCGGCCTCACCAGCACGCGGGGCACCGGGCCCCCAGCTGTGTTCCCGCCCCGCGCACGGCCCGGGCCCTCCTTGGCGTTGTTCCGGTTCTGGTTCCACTCCCAGGGACCCCCAGCGACGCGGAGGTGCTTGACTGGCAGCTCTGGTGTGGACTCCGGGGTGGGCAGGCAGGCCAGCTCCGGTGGGGGTACGCCCTCGGAAGGAGGCAGGAAGGTAGTGTAGAGCTGTGGCGTCAGCGCCGCGTCTCCGTCCTTGGACGGCGGCGGGGGCTCTGGGCCCCCACCGTGTAGCCGGGCCAAACTGCGAAGGGAGAGAGGGCGCGGGAGCCCCGGAGTCTCGATGTCCTTGCCCCGACGTCGGTGGGCGTGGCGACAAGCACAGGAGACCAGGAGGCCAGAGACTGAGGCGCCCAGGGCGAAGGCTGCGGCCACACAGGCCAGGAGGAGTGGGATGGGCACCGAGCGGGAGGCCGAGGCTGGGGGGGCGTCCCGCACGCCTGGGAAGGAGGAGGGAGGCTCAGCCAGGGGCAGGCGGTGCGCGGGCCGGTGCTGGGCCTGGAGGGTGCAGCAGTTTCCGAGGTCTGACGTCGACTCTCCTGCTGCTATTTGGCTTCACTCCCACAGCCTCGACCTTCCTCAGGATTCACCTCCCCTGACCCCTCAACACACAGCCCACCACACTGCAGCTCACACACAGGCTAGAGCTTGGGCCTGGGGAGTCCCCATCCCAGTTCTGGACCCGGTAGCCACGCCAAGAGCAAATGCCAAACTGTCAGTGCAGAAGGGGTGGGGCTGGGATCCCCAGTTCTGGGGAGGGAGGGCTCCAAATAGGCGTTAGTGAGCACCAAACACCAAACACAGTGAGGCCCCTAGAATTCTCCAAGAATCAGCAGCCCAGCACCCACTGCTGTCCCTCCCAGGTAGCCCCCTTACCCTGAGTATGAGCTCCAAGAGTGGAAGACTGGGGCCAGGGGTGGGCATCACTGGGGGGACTGGGGGTCCCAGGGGAAGGGCCAGGACCCAGAAGCGCTGGTAACACAGACCAGGTCAGAGCCAGTGAGGTTCCTGATCTCCACCCCTGACACCCATCCAGGGGCCCTTCCTCCCTCCTTTGGAACCCAAGAGTCCAGAACTCCAGCCTCTATTTTCCTCTGGGCTTGGAGAAGGGCTCACCATGCAGGACATTCTTTCATTTATTTGCTCAAAAACTATTTTTTCAAAACCCTACTGTGTGCCAAGCACTGAGCTATATGCTGAGTATTTGGAGGATGCTGGCCGTTTTCTGAGACTCAGGGTGTTCAGGGCGCTGGTCTGCTGCTGCCACAGGGCACAGACTTGGGTGTGTAGGCTAAGCGAGGGAAGGTGAAATTGGGACAAGAGAACTCACCATAGGCGGAATCCCCGGGGCCGGACTGACTCCCAGTAGCTCCATCTATGAAGGGAGAGAAAGAGTGAAGCTTCAGGGGGAAGCTTCACGAAAAACTGATGGGGGCGGCTGTGCCACAGAAGGAGAAAAAGAAAAGCCCACACCTGGGATGGTATCTGTGGCCATCATGGCCGTGTGCAATCTGGCTGCGGCTGCGTGCCGCCACCCCTTCACTTTACCTTGGCAGTCACCATGGTCCGTGGAGTCCTGCTTCCCAGCCCGATCCACATCAGTCCTAGGAGGAAAAGGAAGGGGCTGGATGCAGTTCGACACTTTGTCCCCGTCTCCCACCCTGGCCCTCAGTTTTCTCTCTTAGTTGTGAGGAATTTTATCCTCAGGAGATCCAGGAGCCTCTCACTTACCCACCGGGTCCCCTGATATCCACACAGCCTCTGGAGCTATGCCATCCACAGTAAGGGTCCTGAGAAGCCAGACAGCTCCTAGGGAAAACTGAGTCATGTGACACTGGGACCCCCTCCACTCACATTCCATTCTGCTGCCTCTTCTACGCTCACCGTGGCTTACAGGAGGCTCCCAGCCCGATATTCCTATCCCGCCCACCCTAATCTCTACTCCACACTCTGGGTGCTGCCAACCTTCAACCATCCCCTACATTTCCCTGCCACCTCCAAGACCTATATTTCTGTGCTCCTGCTGGCCCAGGCAGGGCCTGGCCTCAGGCCCCTCTCACCTCTGACAGGCCCCATGGCGGGCACACCGGCTGAGAGGGAGGTAGACGATACAACCAGAAAAAGCCACAAAGAGCCTGTGACCCTCAGTGTCCAGCTCCAGCCCTATGATCCGTCGTGCTGTTTGTGCTGCCCGTTTCCCACTGCACCTAGGGTGAGGCCGTAAGGAATCAGAAGCGGAGCAGGCAAGGCTACTGTTTTCCTAGTGACTTCAAGAACAGAAAGTGGGAAGATGCACAAGCGTCTGAGCACAACCCATAAACCACCAGGCCCTACCATACTGTCCACGTCTTCTCACCAAGCCTTTCTCTACCCCGGAGCTCCTGTCCCGCAAAGCCAATGTTGGAGTTTCCAAGCCATTCCCACATCCCCATCTGCCACCTCCCATCTCATCCCTGCCTGCCCTCCAAGGGCCTCACCGGGAGGGGCTGTAGGCATCGATCTCTTCCAGTAGGATGGGCTCAGGTTCCCCAGATCGCCCACCGGGGGGCAGCACCTTCAGCACTGTGCCATCATCGGAGCCAAGGAACATGACTGTATGGTTACTGTGGGGACCAGCCATGCCATCCACAGCTACCTGGGTCAGGAGGGCCCTGAAAGAATAGGCCTCAGGTCAGGGTAACCTGCCTAGTGGAAGCCTGAACATTTCAAGGAGAGCCCAGGTGTCCTGGTACCCACACCTGCACCCTTCCCCCACACCTTAGGGCTCCCTTCTGAACTCTCTCCTTTCTACTCTCGTGGTTCTTCGTCCCACCCATGTGATATACCTTGTGAGGCTGGAGACAGAGGAGAGTGGCTGAGGGCGGGAGGGTGGAGGTTAGTGTTTTTTTAGCTCATACCTGCTAGTGAGAGTGAGGAGAGGCTGATGGGTGGCAGGTGGCACAGCAGGGTCCAGCAGTGGGTGAGCCTTGATGAAGGTCAGGACGTCATCAGGGAGGTCTCGGGAAGATGAGAACAAGGCAGCTCCACCTACTCCTGCACAGGATCCTGGCCTGGCGGGCACAGGAAAGGGCCACCTTAGGGCAGGGATCCTGGGCTTGGTTCAGCTCTAGGCCTCCCGCCCTGCCGCCCCCACCACTGCTCCCAAACATGATTGGTGAGCCTCGCCCACCCACACACATACACTCAGGCCACTGCTTCCCTTCCCTGTTGCAGCCCTTCAGTCCCACTGCCAACCCACTACAGCTCCCTCCCAAGCCTTGGACATCTTAGCCCCTCCTCACAGTCCCATCTTGGGAACAGACACTGCCTGCTTCTGCCCCCACAAAAGCGACCCCCATCCTGGGTACCTGGGTGAAGGGACCCTGTCCTCAGACACAGGGGTCCATGCCCCATCCAGACTCCTCTGTTCCTTGAACTTGCCCTCAAACCCACGCTCAATATCATCCAAGTAGAAGGCACAGACTGCAGAGCCAGGGATGCTAGGGGAGCCAAAAAAAAAGTGGGATAGATGTTGAAAGGAACCACGCAACTCCCAGGTAAGAAGAGGTGGCTACCCTTCATGCACCATGTTAGGAGGCAGACTGTGGGGTAAGGCAGCCGCTGGGTGCCATGCTAGGAGAAAGGAAGGTGGGCAGGACAGCAATCTGGCTTTGCTTGGAGCTTTCCCCTCACTGTCCCCATCGGTGGGCTTTGAGAGTTTGGATGCTTGTCGGGGAGGACACAGATCAGGTCACACTAGTCAGCTGACCAACCTATTGGTCTGTACCAACCTATTAGTCTGCGTGGTGAAGACCCCAAAGAGAGCAGAGCGGCCATGCAGGTTCACAGGCCCAGTCAAGGCCTGTAAGACGTCAAAATAGAAGGTAGAGTCCCCAGGGACAGAGCAGTTAAGCCGCAGCTTCAGGAAGGATGTCCAGTGGCGGTCCAAGGCCCGAGGTGAGCCACCCATGTCACGTTTACATACTCGGGCTACACGGGAGAACTGCACCTGGGGGCAGAGAGTGGGGAAGAGAACAGTGAGAGAGCCGCAGGGCAGCTGGGCGAAAGCCATGTGGTGAGAGACAAATGTGAAGGTCACAGCAAAGGAAGGGCAAGGTGTGGTGGGTCAACTTGGGTCATGGATGAGGGACACAGCAGGATGTGGGGGCAAAGCGCTGGGGCTATTCCAAGTTGGGGGGATTGTGTTGTGAAGATTAGGGTCAGGAGCTCTCCTTCAACTCAGACGGGCTCCTCAGGATCCAGCAGAACCCTCCAGCTACCCACCCCTGGTGCCCACATCCTTACCCGCCCCAGCCGGGCATCTTCCACAGAGACCTCTCGGAAGAAGAAGTAGACGTGGTCTCCATGCTCCAAGGCATGGACAAAGTGCGGCTCTAAGGTGGGAGTGACAGGAAAGGGTGTGGAAGAGTATCTATACCTGCCCATAAACTCCTGGCCCCTGACTGCCTCTCCCCACTGCACACACACACACACACACACACACACACACTCTACCACACAATCCGCCTGCTCTCCACCGCAGTCCTCCCTCTGCACCTCCTCCCCAAGAACAGTCTCCCTCCTCCAGACCTTCCCTGACCTCGGAGCCACTTGGAGTCGTACTTGGCAGAGCGGAGCGGGGGCTGAGGCCCAAGGCTTCGGTAAACTACAGCGTCACTGGCCTGGAAATCTGCAGCCGTGGCTGAGTACAGGCTGCCCTCTGGAGAGGTCGGGAGGGTGGGGTCAGAGGAGGGCTCAGGCATCTGTATCTGCCTCTTCACGGGCCTCCCACACCCCTGCCTAGGCCTGGCCCTGGCCCCTCCATCAACCCTCCACTCGGGGGCATCGGGAAAAGATCCAGTTGGGAGAGGAGCTAAGGTGGGAGCTCCCTCCAGCCACAAGCCTGCTTCTCACATGCCCACGCACACCTGCAAAGATGGCCACGTTGGACTGGGTGGCATCAAAGGGGCATCGAGCCTGCCCACTCAGCTCCTCACCCTCCTGCTGCAGCGAAGTTATCTGGGGGCAGAGGGAGCAGGTTCCTGGAACCTCAGGGTCTTGGGAGTCTGACTCCATAGCCCACTCCCTTATGTCCCCTTACCTCCTTCCCCAACCCCTGCTGGACCCCTGCATTCTGGGCACTCCCATACCCTGACCCCAGTTCCTGCTCCCTTCCCATCGAACTGATTGCCCATCATGGGTTCTCCCCCCAACTCCCATCCTGACCCCCGCCCTCTCCTTTGTACCCCATAACTGCGGCACACAGGGCTGAATGAGTTCGTTCCACAGGCAAGGAGCGTCTGGGAGTCCCAGGGAACAAGAACACGAATGTAGTTGTAGCACTCGTCCTAGAGAACCCAAAGTTCTGGGTCAGTGACAGGGTCCTTGAGACTGGGACTAGGGGGTAACAGGAAGGAAGGCTACTCCTCTTGAGCCAGTCAGAGCAATGTGGGATAAAGTCCCAAGTAAGCTACTTGCTAGCCCTGCGGCCTTGGCTAAGTCCTGTGGCTGCTCTGAGCCTTACGTTTCTCTTTTTTGAGGCATGTAAAGGAAACTAAAAATTATCAATTCTCTTTCCTTCCCATTTTCCTCTGTGGCCTAGGATGGGAAAAGTGGGAAGGAAATTGGGCATGGTAGGTGACCACTTGGACAGAGCCTGGAGGCAGGGTAATCCTCCTTCCCTCCAAATTCTCATTCTACTCCTCACCGTCAGCTTTCCCCGTACAGCACAGTTCTCCACATCTTGGCTCCTCCATGTTAGATACTGAAGGGAGAAGGAGAAGAAATCATGGGGCAACCTGGAGCCCTCCTCACTATGGCTCCTTTTTTTTTTTTTTTTTTTTTTGAGACAGAGTCTCACTCTTTTGCCCTGGCTAGAGTGAGTGCCATGGCGTCAGCCTAGCTCACAGCAACCTCAAATCCTGGGCTCAAGCGATCCTTCTGCCTCAGCCTCCCGAGTAGCTGGGACTACAGGCATGCGCCACCATGCCCGGCTAATTTTTTCTATATATTTTTAGTTGTCCGATTAATTTCTTTCTATTTTTAGTAGAGACGGGGTCTCGCTCTTGCTCAGGCTGGTCTCGAACTCCTGAGCTCAAACAATCCGCCCGCCTCGGCCTCCCAGAGAGCTAGGATTACAGGCGTGAGCCACCGCGCCGGCCCTATGGCTCCTTTTGAATCCTTCTTCCCACCCATTTGACCCCCATTAGATCTTTCCCAGCCTCATCTCCATGCATGCCCCTCCTCCCACACAGCCCCTCACCTTGTTGGGCACCAGCCCCTCTCCTTCTTCTTGGGCTTGAAGATCGAAGGAGAAAACGTGATCCCTGAAAGGGTAGGTAAGGAGAAGTGAGCGCCAAGCCAAGGCACCCCACCTGAGCTCCCATGGTCAGCTGTTCCAGCACAAATAGTGCAGACCTCCTGTCCTCTATCCTCCCTCCTTACTCCATGCCTTGGCATTTGTGCTCTGGGTCCAAGCATGTCCATGTCCCACCTGCATGTGTCCCCTGCAAGATGCTGCAGTGGCCATGCAGGTCCCATGTCTGCCCAGGAGCATGCATGTCTGCCCCACAACTGTGCCACGGTCAGTTTACCGGGCAGCCACTAGCAAGGTCCGGTTCAAGGTCAGGAATCTCTGAAAGTCCAACCCAAGTTCTGCAGCCACAGCATCATCCTCCAGGCCCCGGAACCAGGATAATGGGGAGGTACCTAGAGGACACAGAGAGGGCCAGCTAGGTTACCACACGTTTCCCCCCAGAAGAAACCCAGCCATGGACAGAGTGGATAAGTGATATCAGAGGTGCCTGATAGCTTTTAAGCTATTAATAAAAATAATACCAGTAACACGGAGTGCTTAATCTGTGCCAAGTACAATGTTAGCACTTCAGATGCGTTGTCTCGTTTTAATACGAGTAATGTACTAACCTGGGCTCCATTTTGCAGATGAGGAGCCCGAGGCTCAAAGCCATTAAGGAATTTGCATAAGTTTATTTAGCTTGGAAAGGGCAGGCACCAGGATTCAGGACCTTCTGCCTCCAGAGCTGAGCCTAGTCCCTTCTTGGAACTGCCTTAGGGCCAGCAATTTCCTTCCAGCCTACCTTGTGCACTGTCCCATCTGGAGCATTTGCAGCCCTCTCTGCACCCTCCCCTCAAGGCTCTGCATAGGCCACCTCAGCCCTCCGACCTTTCTGCCTCCTCTGACCAGCTCCAGCTTCCACCTGGCCTGATCATGGCAACTACAATCATCGGTGGCCAGAGGGAGCCCAGAGTTCGGGGATGGGCGACTTAACATTCATAATGTGCTCGGAACTACTTCTGGCACGTACAAGTGTTCACTATTCTTATCTATCCCTCAACAATTACTCTCACTAACCCAATTTTAAAGTTTGTCCATCTTTAAAATTACTCTAAACCCTACATATGTAATAGGAACTGCAAATAAATTTTTCATCTTAGGAAAAGTGGGTTTGTGGTTTCTATAATGGTAGGACCTAGGCTTACTGGTGGTACAAGTGGTAGAGAGGGAGGGAAGAGGTGTTGGGAACCACTGAACTAGTCCCAACCTTCATTTTGTAGCTAAGAATAATAGCAAACATGTAAAAAGCATTTACTTTGTGCCAGGCAGTATTGTCAGGACTTTACATGCATTATCTCATTTAATCCCTAAATTCCCTAAATCATTCCATAAAATAGAATACTTGCTTTTTTTTTTTTTTTTTTTTTAGGTCTCACTATGTTGCCCAGGCTGGAGTGCAGTGGCTATTCACAGGTGTGATTATAGTGCACTGCAGCCTCCGATTCCTGGGCTCAAGCTATCCTCCTGCCTCGGTCTCCCGAGTAGCTGGTACTATAGGAGAACTCCAACCTAATTGACTTAGAATACTATTATTATTATTTTAGAATACTATTATTATCTGCATTTAGCAGATGAGAAGACCAAGACAAAGAGAGGTTAAATAACCAAACCAAGGTCACATAGCTAGTGAGCAGCTAAGCAGGGATTCAAACCTGTTAAGATTTGGTCTGGCTGACAATCTGTGTTCTTTTTGTCACTCAGGCTGGAATGCAATCGTGCTAATATAGCTCACAGCAACCTTGACCTCCCAGGCTCAATGGATCCTCCCACCTCAGCCTTCCCAGCAGTTGGGACTACAGGCATATACCACCACATCTGGCTAGTTTTTAAATTTTTTGTAGAGATGCTGTCTTGCTATATTGCCCAGGCTGGTCTTGAACTCCTGCCTCAATCAATCCTCCAGCCTTGGCCTCCCAAAGTGCTGGGATTACAGGCGTGAGCCACCACACCTGGCCAAGTCCATGTTCTTAAACACCAAATGATGTCGTCTCTAAGTGGAGAAACCAGGCCAGGACGAGAAACAACTGACCAGAGGTGTCAGCTCACTCTGTCTGCCCTCCTTTGTTGGTCAGGCTCTTAGCTTCCTGGAAGCTGAGAGCCTTCCTGCACCTTGCCTCACACACATGGGGTCTCGGTCTCTAATTGCCCACAGAGAGGGGGCACGGTAGGTTCTGGGGCACTCACCTTGTAGGTCAGAGCTCAACAGAGGGAGGGGGTCCTGGGGAAAGGCAGCCCAGGTAGAGGGAAGTGAGAGCAGCAGCAACAGTAGCAGCAAGGGCATGAAGTAGGGGGCACGGGGCATCCTGTGCGGGGCAGCTTAGGCCCCCGGGGGTGACCCCTCACCCATATGCTGGCCCTGAAAGAGGAAACACAGAAAATTGGGGGGGGCCAAGTTCCCTCCACCCCTGATGCAGGCAGGCTCCTCTCCCAGTCTATCCCCAGAAGACCCTGTGGGGTAGGGGAGAGAACCCTCTCTCTGGAACTGCCCCTGTCCCAGCCAGCTGTCGTTGTCACTCAAGGCCCTTCCCTCTCCAACTGGCCCAAACTGGCTGGAGTGAGGCCTGTGACCCCAGGTAAGGACAGGACACGCCCGCTCCCCCTCCCAGCCTTCTCACCCAGCCTTTCTTCCTCTCTCCTGACTGGGTCTGGGACATTCAGTAGGTGACACCTCCTGGCCCCCCTCTTGCTAACCCCTTCTCAGCTATAATTAGACACTGAAGCCTTAAAATTATAAATAGTGACTCCTTGGCACTGGGAGGAGGAGGAAGAGGGCACCACATCTGCCTCCCCCTCCCTTGCAGACCCCCACAGCACCCTGGGAGCAATGCAGGCACTGTGCCCAGGCAGGGGCAGCTGTGTGGCTGCCACTGTCCCCTCTAGGATTGAGGAAGACAGAGTTGGGGGAGGCAACCTAGGGTCACTGTGCTGGTCTAAGCTCATTCTTCGGGGGCCCTTCTTGCTGCTAGGGAAGAAGCTGAGTAGGGACGGGGAGTGGGGGGGGCAACTATCTTAGCCAAAAATGAATCTGCATCAAAGCCAGATCAGAGGCTAAATTTAGCTCTGGCTGCAGCTGTTTCCCCCGACCCACTGTGCCCCCTCCCAGCCTCTCCAGCCCCCTGCTCCCTCCCCGGCTCCTATGAACTCGTGTATGTACTTAAAGGGGGGAAGAGCAGACCAACCACCTATGAGGAACCAGGGACAGAAGGGACCGGTGAGGTGAAAGGGCTGAGTGTGCCTCTCTTTCCCTTCCTTCCCTCATCAGGTTGCCTCTGAAATTGAAATATAAATAATTCAGTGACAGGCAGGCAATTGTAACCTAAAGTCCAGGAAAAGATGGATATGATGGAAGGGATGGTGAGACAGGCCTCCTTCCCAGCCATCAGCCTCCCCCAGCCAGCTGCCCCTTGCTGGGACCCACAGTGGGAGGTGCACACCAGTCCCTTGCTTTCTCCTAAAATTGAAGCGAGGGGCTGGCTAGACTCCAGAAATCAGGTCAGGAAGATGAGAATCCTTTCTTTTATGAACAGATAACTACCCTTCACCAATCCTTAGTTCCCCATCTCACCATGTCCCCTAAAAGAGAGACCGTGGGATTCCAAGTCCAGCCCCCTTCCATCTCCCCAGTAATCCCACTCTTGGACCCAAGTGTCCCCTCACCCTCAATCCAGCGTCACCGGTGGGGAGGCTGACGTCAGGTGGGGTCCCAAGAGAGCTGGAGGAGAGGAAGGGGTAGGAACACCTAATGATGACCCCCTTCCCCAGAGGCAGAGAGTAGTCAGCTAGCTAACGACCCTCTGGTGTTGAAAGGCTGGGCCTTCCGCCCTCCTCCCACCCCATGTTTCCGGATGCCGATGTTCCCGGGGGAAGAGAAAGGGACAGAGCTTGTCTTCTATCCTCCTCAACCTGCCCCCCCCTGCAACCAAGTTGCCCTGAGCAACTGATGTCTTCACCCTGGAAACAACTTTGCTCTCTGGCAAGTGGGGAGAATAGCCAGTCCCTCTTCCTGCTTCCTGGCCATGCCTGCTTCCATCCCCCCTTCTCAGGAGGTGCTGCCCTTTCCTTACCTGGGGAGGTGACTCTTGTGGGGGTTTGAGAGGGATAGGAGACTTCTGACCTGATGGAAATGGGATAAAAGGAAGGAAGAGACTGAGTTACACCTCCCTTACCACATCTCTTAAGAAAATTCAGAAAAAGTCTGTTGAGGCTAGGATAGGGGAGATGATGCTCTGGAAGTGGGGGGACAGGTGACATTTAATTCAGTTACAAAGGTGCTGGTGGCTTCATGCCCAGAGATGTGGGGGCAGGAGATGGGGATAGCCCCTAGCCAGAAACTCCTGGAACTGCAGGACCAGCCTTGGCCAAAGGGGTCACCGGGAGAGTTTGTGGGGCATGAAGACCACTCCCATGTTAAAACCCTCAGAATCCAATAGCCTTCCTAGCAAAAGCACCCTAGCTAGGGACAATAGAGGCTAATTTGCATCTCATTTACATGCTCTTCATTTCCAGGCAGAATGCTCTGATAGCAAGCACCCCCAGCCCCTTCCTTCCTTCCTGAGAGAGCAGGCCCTGCCCCCTCCCACCCAATCTCTCCTCACATATCCCCCACTTTAGGCTGGATTAGACTAGCCTCTAAAAACACTTGATTGGCCTTTGCATTGGTTCCCTAGACCCAACTATAATACATTTTTAAGAGGGCTTCCCATGGCTGTTTTTGGGGAGCTGCATCTGGGCAGCTCTCATCTAACCCCTGGCCTGGAGAAAGGTTTACTCTGCCCTGGAGGAATCCCTTCATACTTCCCCATCTGAAGCAAAAGGGGGAGACCTGGCCGACTCCTTTTCTCCCCTCTAGATTCTCCCCTTGCTGGGAAGAGGAAACAGCCCCTCTCTTTCCCGGCCCTGCAGCCACCTCTGGGGAGTGGCCGGGGTCATAGAGTCTAGCGGAGATGGGGAAGGGATGGAGAAGGGGAGACCGGGCTGGGGACAATAGCAGGAAGCCTTCGCCTGATCGCCGCTCCCGTCCACCTTCCTCAGGGGGAGCAGGGGTGCACCAAGGAGCCTCGTGGAACCGGCGCGTTCCCTTTCCAAGACAGTTCTCCCACCTTTAGCTCTCGGCCCCAGGCTCAGCAGCTACCCTCCCTTCCACCCACCCCCCAGCGAGGATAATCCAGGTGTCTAGAGCCTCGCAAGAGGTGGGCCTGGGGCCAGGCGCTCGACGTGTCTCCCCCTCACTGCCTGGGGCCAGGGGCTCGACGTGTCTCCCCCTCACTGGATCCGGGGCTCCGAGGAGGGGCGGGTAGCGGAGTCTGGGCCGGGACCGGGTCCCAGAGCCACGTTAGCGGGAGGAGGGGCTGGAGGGGCCTGCAGGCTCAGACGGAGTGAGGATGGGAGCGGGGGTTGGGGAGCGGAGGCAGGTCTCCCAGACCAGGGAAACAGGGCCAAAGGCTGAGAACCGACGAGGGCGGGCCCGGGGCCGACGCCGAGCGGGGTCCATAGGCTCGGGAGGCACTAGCCAGCTCGGATCGCCTCCCCGGGAGACCTCAGTCTAACAAAGCCCCGGGCCGAGCGGAGTGAAGGAAGGAGATGGGCGCTGGGACCGAGGTTGCTTGGGGGCTCCATTTCCTGACTCTGTGCCAAGGCAACCCCATGGGGGTGGTGCCCAGACTCCCGCTTGCGCAGGGACAGAGGTGCAGCCGTGACCCAAAGTCCGGAATGACGAGTCCCCTTCCCATCCCTGTGGGGGCACCGAAAGTGTAGTTCTCCGCGGGTCTCAGAGCCTTAGTTTCCCTGCGGGGGAGGCAAGGGTCCAGGTTTTCCATCCTCTATACAGTGCACGCTCCAAATAATACCCTCTCGTGCTCCCCAACCAAGTGGGACGCGACTCGGAGAAAGCCCAGCTGAAAAGGTGCCCAGACCCTGCGCCCAGCAGTGTAGTGACGAGGCTCGGACACGGTCCTTCCTCCCTTCCTGCACCCCAACTTCGCTGACCCTCTCCGCCTGCCAGGCATACAGCGCGCCGACTCCCTCATGGGTCCCTCCAGCACTTCAGAAGCTTGCCCCGGGCTTGCAGCGCCCGGGTCCCTCCCCGCCTCCCTGCAGCCCCGTCCCTGCCGGGGTACTTGCTCGGGGATCCGGGTCAGCGGGATACAGACCGCAGCGGGCGGCCGGCGGCCACGCGCCTCGCAGAGTTAGCAATCCGTGGCTGGGGCTCAGGCGAGATGTGATAAACGTCCGAATTGGATGGTGCTCGGATTTGGGCTTCAGGGCGCTATCGGATGAGGAGAGCCCTAGGTCCAAGTCGCAACCCCGACGCTCGCCGAGGATCCGCGGAGGAAAACAATGCGACCGCCCGGAGCTCTGGGCTCGGCCCCAGCCGCCCCGCCCGCCTCCCAGCCAGACCCACCTCCTGCCCGCCTCTGAGTCGGTGAAACTAATCCCGCCCTCGGAGGTCGGTGAGACGCCGCCTTCTCGTCACCTCTCCGCCAATAGCACCGCCCGGGGGAGGGGCACCGGGAGCACCGTCCACCCAGAGGGCCAGCCCGGGAGGGTGAGCTGCAGACCAGAGACAGGCGCGAGATGGACAGACCCACGGACAGTCGCTGACACCCAGACAGAAGAGACACACACAGAAACAGAGACAAGCTGACAGAGGAAAGGCTCTGGGGAGAAATCTTACAAGAGGAAGGAACAGAAGCTGGCAGAAGAGAGAGACAGGAAACCTGGGGGCCTCGGCTGGGCTGGGCTGGGCCGGGCCGTCAGAGCCTGCGCGATCCTTCCTCCCTTTCCCTCCTTAATGACTTTGGCGACCCTGCTCCCTAGGGAGTCTCCCGCCTCTCCCTAACTCTGCCCCAACCCTCCGTTTTTCCTCCTTAACGCTTTTTATGTAAACCTCCTCATTTCTCTCCATAGACTTCCTCTGGTTCATCCTGACCCCAATAATAAGGCCTCGTATGCACTTGGGGGCTTGAGGCCTGGGAAAGGAAAAGAAGGTGTCAGCAGGAGGTTTTCCTTGTCCCCATCATCTCCTCCCCTCCCACCTCTACAGTTAAAGCAGGATGGGCTCGGGCCATTATGCCAGGAACTAAGAAGTCAGGAAGCCACGGTGATGGGTAGTCAGGCTGCTGGCTGATGGAAGAGGACAGGTGAAAAGGGCTGAAGCCAAAAGAGATGTGGAGACCAAGACTAATTGACTCAGAATCACACAGAAAGAAGAGCAACACGGAGACCCAAAAAAGAGAGAAAGTGACCATCTGCCCTAACCCCAGGTAGTCTTACTGCCCCCACAGATACAGGACATAGACACAT